TCTGCACAAGTAATATACCAGTGTTAGAGAGGGGGTGGGGCGGGGCATGGGAATACATTCCCATGTATTGTAGGCAAGCCAAATAACCCCAAAAAGATAGCTGCTGCTTACAATTCTTCCTTAACCCACTGTAGAATAATTATTTATAATCCAAATACCAAAAATAATATCAGCAATGTACTTCTGCAAATCATGTCTATACTTATACTATCATTCTGTTGCTTTACTCATGCATGAAGAGTTCATATTCTTGATGTTTTGGTAGACTGCAGTTATGGATGATATTGCTAGAAAGCATATGGATGAAATGAAATGAATTTTTATCAAGCTTGGGAGAAAATATGTTAGCAGACAATGCAAAAATCAACGTTTGAGAGAACCCAGAAAATGATGTTCAGTGGTGTTTACTACAAGATCCTGTATCTATAAATACAATATATTGTGCTGTAGGGTAATGCACAATGGCAATGCATGTGAAGGATCTAACTGCCTATTGAACATAAACATCAAGCTAAAAGTGCCCATGCAATTTTGATACGCATTCACTGAAGCACTGCATCTGGAATATAGCAAGTGATCATTCTGTTATGTTTTACTCTAGATAGGCCATGCTTGCGTTTTGTACCCCGTTGGGGGCATTGATGCGTTTTAAAAGAGCATGGAAAAGCTGGAGCAATGTCAGAGGAAGAGTTACTCAGATGATAGGACTCTGGAAACGGAACATACGAGTAAAGGTTAAAAGTGTTAGGTACATTTTGTTTGCATAGGAGAAACTAAGGAGAGATGTTATAGTTCTGTGGTGGTGAACCTATGGTATGTGTGCCGGAAGTGGCACTCAAAGCCATCCCATGCGGGACGTACAGCCTCACTGGCTCCTTTTCCGTGCTCCTGTGCACACACATGTGCCAATCAGCTGGCCTTTCTGCACGCAGGAGTGCCAAAACCTGGAAGTTTGTGTGACAGCCAGCAGTTATCGGGCACGTGCCCACACCGCAAACCAGAAGTTAGGGTGCTGGTGAACGCATTCGTGCCAAAACACAGCTCTTCCAGGTTTCGGCACTCTTGCATGCGTGAAGGCCAAAAAGGCGCATGGTCCAGGCAGGATGGTTTTAGCCATCACTGTTATAGTGGTTAATAAATACTGCATATAAAGACTGTGTTATCTACGAAGAGGCAGCAAGGCCCTCTAAAGAGAGCTAGCGTAGAGACTTTTCACTTTAGTCTGGTGTCTTAACAACTAAATTTGGCTTAGTTGTTAAGGCACCAGGCTAGAAACCTGGACATTATGAGTTCTGCATTAGCCATGAAAGCCAGTTGGGTGCCTTTGGGTCAATCATTCTCTCTCAGCCCACAAGGTTAGCCTCAAGCAACAAGCCAGTGGGTCAATTCCTGTCACAACCAATGGAACTGAAAAAAGCAGCTCCTGCACTTAAAGGAAGATGCTAGAAAGAATAAAGGGCGGGGGAGGTAGGTTTGTTCGTAGCTGAAACAATGAGCAGAGCAAGAAACAAGAATGAAGTTAAACAAGTTTTAGAAGAAACATGAGGAAACATTTCCTCCTGATAACAGTTGTTAAGCAATAAATCATCCTACCAATGGATCATAGAAAAACAGTAGGAGATTGATGGGGAGGAAATGATGATGATTTTATTATTACATCATATAAATCATGCAAAGTGTATGCTTGTGTCCAGCATAGTGATGAAAAATTATAATTGTATTATTGGGATAATAGCATAATGATAACATAGATTAACAACATTAAATTGCAGCGTATCATCCACATAATCTTATACTCTGCTCTACCCTTGTCAATTTCCTTAATGTTTTTTAAAAAATATAATTCCATAACCTTGAATTTATAGAAACAAATTAAATACAGAAACAGGACATTCTTGATGTTTATTATAACACATATTTTAAGATGAAAGATGGTTTCTTGCTATATTGCTATTGTTAATCAGTTATGAAGTAGAAATTAAATAAAATATGTCTATTCAGAATATGAAAGTTGGAGGCAGTCAAAATGTATTTATCTATATCCCAACTTTATTATTTTCACAAATAATTCAAGGTGGCAAACAAATCCAGTATTCCTTCTGGCTCCTATTTCCTCATCAACAACAACCCTGTGAGGTTAGTTGGGCTGAAAAAGAGTGACTGGCCTGAAGTCCCCCACCAGATGGTTTATATGGCAAAGGGTGACTTCTGCTTTCTAGCATGGAACCTTAAACCTCTGGAGCAAATTGACTCTCTTCTGTATTCATTTCAGAAACATCCAAAAAACCTTATTAAAAGCCTTTCCTACATCCAAATATACTATGGTTGCTGGTTTTTATTAAACAACTACATGTCACTTACCTCTGAATGGTCTTATATAAATCTAGCCTGAGTTAAATATACAATAATTGAAAGAAAAAATAATTTATTGACAGGGATAGGAGTCCTATTAATGTGTGAAAAAGAACTATAATTAAGGTTTGTTTTGCCAATGAATTAGTCCTTAGTAGATGCCCAACTCCTTAGCGTTTCGTGTTTTAAGGCAATTGTCATGATAACATTAGAAACAGGGATATGCTATATCACACACACACAAATAAAAAAGTGTTACAATTGTATTCTCAGCTTAACCATAGTCAAGGCATATTGCAAACATCCCTGCACACATTAATAAGGTGCTATCATCATTGTTATTATGCAAAGCCAAGTGTGAGGAGGTTGAAGAATAAATCACAGCTACAAAGGAGAACACTATTTCTTTTTCTTACAGTATCTGAAACCAATATATCGAACAAACTGCCTAATTAGGAACTTAAAAAATTGGAAGGCANTAGTTAAGTCTGTGCAATTCAACTCTAATTTTCAAATTCCAGGTGATCTTAATGATAGAATTTTTTTGTTGATGTTACCTTCTTTCAAAGTAAAGCAATAGCAGCTTTAGAGTACAGCACTGTCCAGGAATGGAGAACATGGGTAGTTGATTTTTAATCGTTTCCCTCCTAGCTTTATTTTCACCTTCTATGAAGGTGACAAAAGCTATTCTAGGTGACTGCAATATTCTAATGCAGTTTGGAGATGTCATGTCTAATTTGGCCCTTAAAATAGTGACACTGTCATGAGCATTGAAGTTAATCCATTAACATTTTCCTTAAAACACACAGCCGAAATTGATGGGCAGAAAGCAACATACGCGAGTAGAAAATACAAGTACTCTCCCCAATAAAGTGGGATCAGATTACAGAGATAGTGATCAATGTTATGTATGACTTGTGTAAATCAGAATTGATCTGATCTGATTGAGATTCAATATTTAAAGACGGTATGGTTTGCTATGAGTTTTTGATTTGAGATTTGAGGGCAAATCTATTCATTTCAGCTGTTTGAGCTTTGTGCTTCAATTAAAAAATTTGTCCATAAGTTATAATAAGGAAAACCCAAGGCTTCTAAAGGAACTCCTTATTTGCTAGAGTAGAATGAAAATCTCAGGGACTGTAAATTGTCTAGAAGAAATTAATTCTGTCAGGCTTTAGTTATATTCCACAATGATTTTAAAATGTTCTCCCTGTAGCTTTCTGAAGGCAGAGATAGCAAAGATGAAGAAATGACTACATCATTCATTGTCCAAATTATCTAACAAATAGCCAATGCAGATGTTGGCCAGACCAATGAATACATCTGATTCCAGTTTAAAAATACAACATTTCTTTTGTTTTCCACTTTTTTTTTTGAATTACACTGAATAATGTTAATTGATTTGTCCTTGTAAGGTGTCGTATGTTGTTATTTCTGATTACTGATCTCTGACTTTTTTTGTCTACTGGGGGTTGGCATAGCTGTTTGGCAAATCTATTTGTGGTTGTTAGGTAGGAGCTCTCAGTTTGGCTTACTTGCAAAGCGTGGCCTTTTCTGGTCTAGATTCGGAAGAAGAGCCATTGATTTGTTTCTGTATGGATGAATAATTTGTTGCCCCTGATTGCTTAGGACTTTGAGGATGTCAGGAGGATTAATACAATCAGTTGCCAAACATGGTGGCGCCTAGAAAAAAATTCACTCATCAATGGTAGCAAGACAGTTACGCTGGAGTTGTGGCTTGTTGGCAATATTCTTAGTGAATTGGTGGAGGCAACGTAAGCAGATTAGCATAGTGAACTACAACATCATGTAGTAGTGGTTCTCAACATGTGGTCTACGGACCCCTGGGTCATCACAAGGCTTGAAGAAATGTTATGACTTAAGTTTGAGAGTCCATGGCCATTTTCATGGCTACAAAAAGGTATTTAAAGGGTGCCTGCGGTGAAGAAAAGGTTGAGAACCACTGCCATAGAGCTAGGGCAGGTTGCAGTAAAAAAAATAAAGTTTGAATAAGAAAGAATAAACAAAATTTGTAGCCATGCCATTGCACCTCTTAAAACCAATAAACATTAAGGCCTTAGCCTCTCATGAAAAGAACTGATCAACTGGGAGCAGAGTTCCTGGTTTGCATTGATAGGCGAACTATCTGAATGAATTTGCTGTTTCAAAGCAGGTCCTTCTTTCAGTTTCCAAATAAACTTTAGTTGGGTTTATCCAATCAAAGCTTCCCTTCAAGTCTTTTCACAGCATTCCTCTCAGCTTCTCTCAGCCATTTCTCTGGAAGTGGTGGAGTTCCCAGTCTTCTCCTCCTACATTCCATTCTTGCCATCTAGACCATGGGTGTCAAACTCAAGGNCACTGCTGGCTCATATTTAAATGGTTGTCCACTAGGACTCCAAGATCCCACACTGCAAGCAAATGATTCTTCTAAGACACTAAACCTATTTCATTCTGTTCAGGATATTTATTTATATATTTATTGCAGCATTCTCCAATTTATAGCCCTCTTGAGCCATTGAATTAATAGTTGCTGCACACCTGAAGATATCCTTTTGGAGAAACATTTTTAATGCTATTTTTGTTTAATTATGATTACAAAATAACACAATGAACACACAATATGATCCAATGTAATTCTTTTTCTGTAGGGGGATAGCTCCTATGTGAAGGACCGCTGGTGCGTATTTGATGGATTCATGGTATTTTGTCTGTGGGTGTCCTTAGTTTTACAGGTAATTATATTTCATTATAACAAGGGCATCTCTGCCCAAGTACTGAGTATTGAGTTTAAATTAAAAATCCTCTGATTGGCTCTTCTTAAGCAAACTCAAGTGTCTGAAATGTGCATTTGAATGCCACAGAGTGTACCTAATAGAATCTGTTTTATTTTTCCTTTTATTATTAAACTTGTATGCTGCCTGAATCCCGATGTCTCTGAGTGATTTACAACAATGCAAACAAAGAAATTGCATTAAATCCAATTAAAAAGGAGGGGAAAAATAAAAAGATGATAAAAGTGACAAAAAGACTGAATGGAATAAAGTTAGGAGTCCTAATCTCCTGCAGTAAGTCTTCACCACTCTTCTGGGCAACAGAAAAGTGGAGGACATTCAGAGCTCAGGAGGAGCCTAATTCTGGAGAGCAGGGGCTCCTACATAGAAAGCACACTTCTGGAGTCCTGGTAGATGACATTGCTTACTCAAAGGGGACCCAGAGCTCCTCAATCCTGTAAGATTGAATCACCTGGACAGATCCCATGAAAGACTGGTGGCCCTTCAAATAAACAGGCCCTAGACCTGTGATGGTGAACCTATGGCATTTGCCAGAGGTGGCATGCAGAGCCCTCTCTGCTGGCATGTGCTATCGCCCCAGGTCATATATCTGTGGTGTTTCTTTTGTGAGCTTCTGTTTCCCTGTAAACAAAACAGAAACTCAGGAAAGAAAAAGATCTTACCTCTTGCTGTGCTGCCGGTGCTGGGCTGCCCCTGCTCCAGAGGTGGTATTCAGCAGGTTCTGACCAGTTCTGGAGAACCAGTAGCGGAAATCTTGAGTAGTTTGGAGAACCAGTAAATACCACCTCTGACTGGCCCTGCCCCCATCTAGTCTCTGCCTCCTGAGTCCCAGCTGATGGGGAGGAAATGGGGATTTTACAGTAACCTTCCCCTGCCACGCCCACCAAGCCAAACTAAACTAAAATGTAATGTTTTTTAAAAACAACCTAGATCAGTGTTAATTACCTAACATTTTGAAATTTGTACCAGTTAGATAAATTGTGTACTTTTGAGTACTCTTGCTTGGACACTACCTGAACTACGCAAAACTAAAAGTGAAATGTTCTACCGTTGGTTTTCATGAGGCTTTCAGATAAAAAAAATTCTTATCAGGCCAAACCTTATATGGTTTTAAAAAGGATTTATCTGTATATAAATATATACAACTAATGAAATGCTCCAGGGGTAAAATCCACTTACCTTTACTACCGATTCACAAATGTGACTGTGACTGCGCGTGTGCAGAGCATCAATAATGGACGTGATGATGTCCGGGTGGGTGGGCAGAGCCTGCTACCGAGCGCACCTGCAAACCTAAGGAGAGCAGAGGAGGGGGGAAATCTGCTGTGCCACGTGATTTAGATTTGCTAGAAAGCAGGAAATCCTGCTTTCTAGCTAATATAAATTGTGTGTCACAGCTGATCGTCGGAAATACCGATTTGCCTTCACCGGAAGCATTTTTTTACTACCGGTTCAGGCGAACTGGTCCGAACTGGTAGGATTTCACCTTTGAAATGCTCCTATCAGAATAATTGATCACAGCAGTGAGATATGTTATGCATTACACGCTGCATTCCAGATTTAAATGATTTATTCTCTTGTCAGTGTTTAAAGAGAAATAGAATTTTACTGGTAAGTGTGTGCACTAGAGCTTGTTACCATTATTTGATTTGGTAGCCTAACATAGCTTGCTCTCCGCATAGAACTCTTCCTCTTCAGTTTAGCCTAGGGCAATTCTATCATGGGAGCACCATATATCAGCAAAGACATCCTGCACCTTCTGTTTGACTACCTAAGTAAACCAGCATGGGATTGTTTTCGATCAGTACGTTGAAGGTTCATTCATATTGTTGAATGAGATCATTGAGGTTTGAGCCTGCAGGATAATCAGTTGCAAAGGCAACTTTTTAAGAAGCATGGAAATCCTCAATTGAACAAAAACACTGAAAGTTAACAATGGAAGTATGTTGTTCCTGGAAATTATAATGTTTTGCAGAAATAATAATTTAAAACTAGCAGAAGAAGACTGGCATGATTAGGAAACATCTGAGAGAAAAAGGCATTCCTTTTCTTCCTAGGTTTTTGAAATCTCTGATATAGTGGATCAAATGTCTCCTTGGGGCATGCTAAGGATTCCACGGCCGCTTATTATGATTCGAGCATTCCGAATTTATTTCCGCTTTGAATTACCAAGAACCAGGATAACCAATATTTTAAAGTAAGTCTGTTCTTTGTCTTTGATTTTAAAGTGTAGCTTTGGTAACTTTTTAGGCACAGCTGTATTAAAAATATATTGTGAGTGAAAGACTTGCATTCAGTTTCCTATTATTCCATATGTCTTTGCCTACTTTATTTATCTTTGCAATATGGGTGAATGATTGTGGAACTTCCAGATTTATTCAAGACCTCTGTTCTTTGAGAAGGAAAACCAAGCATTTTTAAAAATTGCCAAAGCCTGATTGGTTTCTCAATATAATATATATCATCAGTTCTCTGGGTTTTCAATAAATATCTTAGTTAAGAGTAATCATCGTTATTAATTCCTTGGGCACACTTTTTTTTATATACATATTAGCATTGTTCAAGTATTTATTTATNAATAAATAAATAAATAAATAAATAAAGCCATCTTTATGATGGTTTATTTAAATTCCAATTCATTCAGCAAGGAATGGAGGATGATTTTGACATGAAGAATCTTGACACTTTAGGACTCTGATTTACACTTATTTATACCAGGATATGGAACGCGGTGGCTCAGTGGCTAAGACGCTGAGCTTGTTGATCAGAAAGATCAACAGTTTGGCTGTTCAAATCCCTAGTGCCACGTAATGGGGTGAGCTCCTGTTAGTTGTCCCAGCTTCTGCCAACCTAGCAGTTCGAAAGCATGTAAAAATGCAAGTAAAAAAATAGGAACCACCTTTGGTGGGAAGGTAATAGCGTTCCATGTGCCTTCGGCGTTTAGTCATGCTGGCCACATGACCACAGAAATGTCTTCAGGCAGCACTGGCTCTTTGGCTTTGAAATGGAGATGAGTACCGTCCCCCAGAGTAGGGAACGACTAGCACATATGTGTGAGGGGAACCTTTACCTTTTACCTTATACCAGGATAAATAATGCAACTCTGATATTGTTAGATTGGATAATGGAAAGGCACACACAGGCTAACAGTAACAACAGCTCTTTATTAACTCAGTAGCAACTATGTACAATCCAGTGCTGTCAGACCCTTCGACCAATGAGATTAAACCTCTGTTCCTGCCGGAACAGAGGACCTTGGTGGAAACCATTGTAGCTGAAGCTAGTATCTAACAGATATAGTCTGAATATCTTATATTTTTAGTTGACTTCTGTTTCATTCTGTGGGTTACCTTGTAACATTTGGGCCAGTTTGGACATCATGCTTCAGCTAGTGGTTAAATATGAAGCTCTGCTTTTCTTTTTCAAGACATTGGTCCCCAACATACCAAATTATTATCACTATGGAACAGTTGTTGCTGGAAGTTTTCAAATCCAGGACACTTACCATTTCCAGTCTCAACTTTACAGAAAAAAATGGCATTTATATTGCAAACTATGATTTTGTTCCCTTATTAGCTGAGGGTAGTCATAGCATGCAATCTGCATTTGGCCAGACTACTATTTATTGATTTGTCAAATTCAGAAGGCTGATAACTCCAGAAAGACTGGGTGAGGTTCATCAAAAATCAAAAACGGATAAGCAACAGCTGTCATATGTGCAGGGAAGGCACCAAATGAGCTTATTTGGTCATGTTCTGTTATTCTAAATTAGAATTCTACCTTTATGTATTGTTGGAACTGTAACATCCTCACCGGAATGGTCCAGTTATGGCTTGGCTCATAATGTACAGCAGTCTTTCCTTATGATCAACTCCGTCTGTCATGGAACTCACACCTTCATGGGTCTTGAAACTCCTCTTAATCTGATTGCCCTCCCCCATCTGAATTTGGAGTTCTGTAATAGATTTCATGGGCAACTTTCAATCCCTACATTTTCAGATTCCCCAGAGATCTCTCAGGGAGCCCCAAGTTGAAAATGGTTGTACTGGAAGTTGACTTGAGGGATTAAGATCAGGCTTGCGCACAGCTTAATCAGAAGGGAAAATATTTTTCTCTGTAGGAAGGGGGTGGTAATATTTTGTTATTCCTGGACCTGCCTTAGCTTGGAATGTGGATATTAAATGAATTATGATTTTTACACGCCCTGTTTAGTCATCTGGAAGAAACCACTGGGTAAGCTTATGCTATCCCCTGCCTCTTTTCAGGAGTGAACACATTTTGCAACCAACTTAAAAATGTTTTGCAGGAAGAGAAGGGCAGGAAAAAAAAGGCTGTGTTGAAGTGCCCTTGGGTTCCTTTCCTGTTCAAGCAATCTTAATCTTAATTTGCTGTGAATTGAAGTTATAACAGAAATGATCATTATTTCCTTGCTGCTGCTGCTGTAACTATAGTCTTTGAAATGGGAAGCGCTAATACAAATGCTATTCTGTATTAGGTTGCTTTCAAACACTGTAGCAGAAATTAGTTTGGATGGTGGGATCCCAGAGGCAAAATGGCATTAATTTATTCCTTTCAGTTAGATTCCATATTCATTACTTACGTCCTATTCATTTTTTTATGTTTTATGGGGGGAGGGATTCTATCAGTCCTGTATCCTGGCATATCCCTGACTTGTTTCCTGCCAATCCTCATAATTGCAAAGCAAAAGCAGTTATAGAAAGGATCACTCACTTTAATTGGTTTTGCTTCTTTTCCTGCTGAAACTCCTCCCTATTTGGCTTTCCAACTATCTCCTTTTCAGACCCATCCTTTTATCTTCAGCTCTTCTCAGACCAAGAGGAGACATGATCTTTCTGGTGTTTTTTTGCCTTGAGATCATAATAAGATTGCATACAGGAGTGGGATTCTACCGGTTTGGACCGGTTCGGGCAAACCGGTAGCTCTGACAATCAGCTGGAAGCGAACCGGTTTACAACAATTAGGTGGGCCCACGCCTGCCCCTGTACTATACTGACCTATATCTTCTCACCTGATTTGTGCAGCAAAGCAGATTGCCATGCCTCAGCTGTAACACAGTAACACAGAAGGTAAGTATTCTTAAAACTGCGTGCATGCGCAATCACCAAACCGATGGTTAAACCGGCAGGATCCCATCACTGATTGCATTCCAAGGACTGAATGTTCAAAGAATTACTTTAATCTAAGTGGAATGTACTCACTATTTATATTCATTAAGTAGAATTATAATCACTATTGCATATCATAAAGGAGGGTGATAAATTCTCAAGGAATGTACGCAAAACATTGATCGCTCAATGCTGTTAAACTCAATGCTTGGAAACTTATTTCTCCTTAGTTCTATGTTGCTTCTCTCTTTGCTTAGCTTCCATCAATTGTTTCCTATCTTGCCTTTTGATGCTTTGGAAAATACTTTTGACCTCTTCATCTTTGTAGCAGCCCCTCAAACATGTGATGCTTTTTCAAGAAACTTTTTAAAATTTGCTAAGCTGGTCTACCACACTGCTCTCAGTCATTGCTCTGAGCGCTCCGCTCCGCTGCCATTTAGTTCTGCACCATTGCGACTCAGCTGTTTTGCTGTGCTGCTCACAGCCATTGGTCTACTGCCACCTGGCATCATTTCACCATTGATCAGTGGGCCCCCATTTGCAACGCACTGCCTCCACTCAGCTGGGCTGTTGGGCTGCCTCTAAGCTGGGCTACCAGGCCTCCTAGTTAAAAGGATTTTTTTTTCAAAAATTTAAAAATTATGAAAGTTCATTTTCAAAATTCCACAAAATTTAGAAGATTTTTTTTAAAAAGAAAATTTAAACTGAAATTCTTTTTTTAAATAAAATTTTTATTTTTAAACAAACATAAACAAGCAAGACATGTAACATAAAAACATCTTCAATTACGTACGGTGTGTCGATTGGTTACAAGGTTTTTGTGTGTCCTTTCCATAGTCATCACTTAAATTTTATCTAATGTCACATATTGTCAATCAATATATATATTTTATACATTATTGTTGTAATACTTCATTTGTTTGATCATCACTATTGTTTCTTCATTTTAAACAAGGTATTCTAAATATGAATTCATTTATATTATAGTAATTCATTATATCATCTTCAATATATCCAATAATAAAGTATTTTTATATCCTATTCTAAGTCATTCTATTATTTTAGTATTGGTAACATTCTCTAATAATTTCCAATTCCATGTTTTTTCCATTATTAGTATCATCTATCTAATATATATGTATACAATTATTATGATTATTGAATATTCATTGAGTATAGCCATTATTACATTATTTCTATGTGAAGCATAACTAAATTTAAAGTAAATTTATATTATGGCATTTCATTACATCATCGTAAAATCATCCAATGATATTA